AAGAAGACTAAGCCAATTAGTACGCCACTTGCTCCCCATTTTAAGCTAAGTACTACTATGTCGACAAAGGATGAAACTGATGAAACTGAACAGGAGTATATGTTAAGGGTACCATATGCAAATGTTGTTGGTAGCTTGATGTATGCAATAGTTTGTACGAGACCTGACATTTCACAAGCCGTTGGAGTTATTAGCAGATATATGCATAATCCAGGAAAGGAGCATTGGCAAGCTGTGAAATGGATTCTACGGTATATTCATAGTACTGTAGATGTTGGGTTAGTTTTTTAGCAAGAAGGCAATCGGTCTGTAGTTGGATATTGTGACTCAGATTTTGCGGGTGATCAGGAAAAACGAAGGTCAACTACTGGTTATGTGTTTACTTTTGCAAAGGCACTAGTTAGTTGGAAGTCTACTTTGCAGTCAACAGTTGCTTTGTCTACAACAGAGGCAGAGTACATGGCTATTACAGAGGCTGTGAAGGAGGCAATTTGGCTTCAGGGGTTGCTAAAGGAGCTTGGTATTGAACAAAAAAATATTACAATTTTTTGTGATAGTCAAAGTGCTATTCAATTAGCGAAGAACCAAGTTTATCATGCAAGGACGAAGCACATTGATGTTCGGTATCATTTCGTACGAGAAATCATAGAAGAAGGTGGAGTCACGGTGAAGAAAATTCATACTACGGAGAACCCTGCTGATATGCTGACAAAAGTGGTGACTGCGGTCAAGTTTCAACATTGTTTGGATTTGATCAACATTGTTGAACACTAAAGATTGAAGATGAAGACACAACCAAAATTTGTTATTGAGAGAAAATTGAAGATGTGGAATTTTGCCAAGGTGGAGATTTGTTAAAATTGTCAAAAGTCCCACATCGGTGGATGACAATTTTGAATGGGAATTTCACTCTATAAAAGGAGGCTTAATGTTTAGGATTTAGGTACACCTCTCATTTGCCTTTTATCTTCTTAAGGCATTTGTATCTTTTCTCTTTAGTATTATTTCACTTGTAATTTTGGAGTGAAATAAAATATTGATTGTGTCCGAGGAAGTAGGCAAAATTGGCCGAACCTCGTAAATTCTGGTGTTCTTTTATTGTTGTCTTATTGTCTTGTTTATTATTTAGTGGTTGTCATAATTTTTGGTATAGTAATTGTGACTCATTCACACTATATACATTTGACTTCCGCAACAGACCCGTCCAAAATCAACCCAATCCGCCCATTTGACACCCCTATGCGTACCTATGAAATCGATCATGAGCAAACCATCAGAACATCGTCCAGTTGATTTGTTCTGGAAAAAGTTTTCACCATAAGGAAGTTTTGCAAAGGGAGAAAAAGCTCCAACGAGGCTCTCTCTAATGAAGTTGCCAGTATCAGAAAGTGAGTCACCCAACTGATATATTTTGTCAAACTTGCATTTCATCAATGTTGGAACTTGAGGGATTAGCACTTGAGCATCAGTTTTCTGCAAAAATTGTAAAAGAACCAAGAAACTGACTATGGAAAGAACTCGTAAGAGATCAAGCACTCTAATGGTCAATGCCATAGCTCAAATTTTGATGAAAAATATTTAGGAGTATGGACCTAATTATAACTACTACATGCACTTTGTCAAAAACTAAATAGTAAACAAACAAAATCTATCAAGTGATATTTATGTGTGCATCTAACAAGGCAGCTATATTATATTATGTTGAGTGAAGTGTACGTATTGCTAAATTCCTGTTTCGATGACCAACTCTTTTGTTATTCGGTCCTTGTTTGCGTCGTTAGTATTTTACCGGATACTGGCTCCTCTTACCATTACCTATATCAAGTAACTCTACCTACCGATACTTAGAAAAATATCACCGGCCATTATTTACATATGCCACTCTCAATTAGTGATTCGTGTCACAGTCCAGAATTCTCACCCTCGAAATCGTGATGGCGCGTAACATTTCACTTGCTAGTTATTAACCATTTTTAATAATTCAAATCAAATGAAAATCAATAAACTAAATAAACTTAAATGAAGTAGATAAATCTGATGCACGACGATATCCAGATACAAATTCCAAGACTGGTGTCACGAATACACGAGCGTCTAGAGTACTACAAATAATAGTCTGAATGAAAGCATAACTGTCTGAATCGAAATAAACAACTAGAGTAATGTAGAAGGGGACTTCAGGGCTGTGAACGTTGTGCACCTGTACCTCAAGTCTCCGTCAAGCACCAGATCCGAGCAATCTACTGACCGCCGCTAGGACCGACTCCAAAATCTGCCCAAGAAGTGCAGAGTGTAGTAACCGACTCCATGTACTCTGTAAGTGCCGAGCCTAACCTCGATAAAGTAGTGGCGAGGCTAAGGCGGGTCACCTAAAATAACCTCTACGCAGTAATAATAATAACAACGGGGAAGGAAATAGGAAATGACGGTAAAATAGTTAACTTATGATAATGAGCTCAATCCTCGCACACATAGACTCCGGAATATCTGACCTCAAAATATCATATAAAATGGCTGAAAACTAACACAATAACACAATGAGTACACTTTAATTGTGTTTGAATATAGTCAATTTATACTCATTGCGTGTTTTCTGTTGTGTAGGTTCAGATTTCGGGTCAAAACTTAGAGCTAAAAGAGAATAAAAAAAGAATTTTGAAATCTGAATAGAAGTTTGAGAGTTAAGTCGGAATCGAGTTCGGGTGTCAAGGACCCGGTGCACATATAAAATAATAGAAGAAAAAGCCAGAAGTGCATTAGAAGCTTAAAGTTTCAACCCCTCTGAAAAGTGGCACTAACACATCATGTGTTAGGCCTTGGTAAACGATGGGATAACCCATTTTTTGGCTTCTGGCGAGAACAAGGAAGCGTGCGTTCTTTTGGTTAAGCTTCAGAAAAGCTCCACTAATGCGGCTCACACTGCGTCGCAATGGACGACGCACTAATATAATTTTTTGCCCAGTTAATTCTAATTCGGCTCATAGAGAGTATTTTAGTCCAGGTCCATCCATACTCGATATAAATACAGTGTAAAAATACTTTTTTTATAGGATATTCGACCTAGGAGAGTTTTGGAGAGCTACCACGGCCTAAACACACAAAATTTCATCAATTCTCTTGCCAACAATCGGTGCAAAAATGAGAGTTTGTATTGTAAAGTTATCTTTGGTGTTTTCTATATTCTTAAACTTATTTGTGATGATTTTCTCCATATCTATGGAGTGGTTCTTTCCCTAGGGTTTCGACGGATATGGTATTTTAATTGATATTTGTGGATTTAACTCTAGTTTAATTGTGTGATTACGTTTATGGAGCTTTGAATTGTTTGCAACTTTACTCGCCGGTTTATTTAATCGAAAGAGGAATATTTTGGTGATTATATTTGCATTATTTGGTTTGGTTTAATTTAGTGATTCTTCTAAGTAATCGAGAGAGCTTTATGAATTGTTGATTAAGCCAAGTTACGAGAATATTCGAGAGACGTTTTCCTAAAGACTAGTCCATTAACGTATTCTTGCATATCTTCACAGTACTTCATATTAGTTTATTTTGTAGAGTTCATATTTAATCGAGAGAGGAATCTTTAACCTTACGTTTAAGCTAATCATCGAGCGAATTCGTGAAAATCATTAGAACATTAGAAGTGAATTTAAACAGAGTTAAATCTCGAATAGCTATCGTACACCTATCATGTCGCAACCCTTAATTCTCATATTGTTTACAACCCGTAAGTTCAACTCTCTTCTCTGTGATTAGGTCTAATTACTAGTAATCTTAATTTAGTAATTAATTGTAGCAGTAATCACTCGAAATCAAGTGTTGATCATCCTGAATAGCAAATAATCCAGAAATTACTCTAACATTATTTAAATCCAATCCATGTAGAGAAGATAATTAAAATATACTATCTTTGCCTAGCGAGCATCAATTTCATGTTGTGTTCTATGCTCGTCAAATTTTGACGTCGTTGCCGGGGATTGGCAATCAATAGTGTTCAAAATAATTTTTGGTGCTAATTCAGGAAGTTTTTTTATTTTATTTTATTTTTCTTTTTTTTTATTCTTCACGGGTTTCCTCTTCTGTGTGTAGGCAACAGATTGACGTCTCTGGTGTATGACTCGATCTTCTTCAAAGGAATTGATTCCAAACAATTCAGAAGTAGAAAAGAGTCTGCGACAGTTGAAGAAAGAGAAAGAACTCACCGAAAAAATATTGGGGCAACTTTCAACCCCAGAACACATGGCTAAAAACGGTGAAGACGAGGTAGAATTAGCTGTAAGAGAAGTAGCACAATAAGAAGATGCACGAGTAGCAGCTAAGCCTGCCCCGTACAACTACTGATGAGACCGTTAATGATGATGGGGGTCGAAAATTCAATCTAAATCGACCCTTGATTGAAGACCAGTTCGAGAATGCAGTACCCAGACCTGGTAGAGCATTGGGTGATTATGACAGAACAGTCTACAATCAGGGACTATCCAGTGTCAGACCTCCGCCAGTAGCAGCAAATAATTTTGAGTTGAAGCAAGGCTTGCTTTAAACTATTCTGAACAATTGTATCTTTAGAGGAAAGGTGAATGAGGATCCTAACACTCACTTGATGTATTTTGAGGAAATCATGAACACCTTCCAGTATAACGGAGTGTTGAAAGATGATGTATACTTAAGGGTATTCCCCTTTTCACTGAAGGATGTCGCGAAGCACTGGCTTCATAGCTTACCAACGGGGTCGATCAGGACATTGAAAGATATGACTAGAAAGTTTCTTGACAAATACTTCCCAGCTGCAAAAATAGTGAAGTTCAGAAGGGAAATTCACAACTTCTGCCAGACGGACACTGAAACAATTTTCGAGGCTTGGGAAAGATTCAAGGAGATATAATAAAGTGTCAGCATAATGGGATTGAATTGTGAATGCAACTCCAAGACTTTTGGGATGGACTGACACCTCCCCCACGACGAACTCTGAACACTGCAGTTGGAGGTCCTTTAATGAAGAAGACTGCTGAGGAGATTGTGAAAATTCTTGATGAGCTATCTGAAGATGCTAACCAGTGGACTGCTGAGAGTAATGATAGAAGAAGATCTGTTGGGGTTCATCAAGTAGATTCAAACACCGCAGTGTGAGTCCAATTAGAAGCCATGGCCAAAGAGATAAGAAAGTTGACCTTAACCAAAGTTCAGAGCCAACCATCACCAGTTTGTGATTTATATGGAATAGCTCATCCAACGCATGAGTGTCAGGTCGCAGCTACATATGAAGTGTTAAATGTTATAGGAAGCTATGATATAGGTAACTACCGGAGTGGTAATAATTTCAATCCTATGGGACAGATGCACCCAGGCTTTTCTTGGAATTCACCAAGTGGTAGACTGAACTCGTGGCAGCAAAATAATTCTAGACCTCAGGGACAAGGACTCCCTGCTGATACTGAAAGAAATACAAAAGAGACAATAAATGCAGTGTTTTGAGGAGTGGGCATGAGTTGGAGGATCTCATATCAAAGCGAAAGGATGAGACGGTTGAAAGACAGGTGAAGATTGTGGAGGAATAGAAAATCAACAACATTCAAGAAGGTGAAGTGAGGGTAGATGAGGATTTGAAGAAGAAAGGGAAGATTAAAGCTCAGAAAAAGAAGAAAAATGATAATTCAACAAATAATGAGACTGAAGAGAGCAAATACATGTATGTTCTACCTTTCCCCCAGAAGCAACGAAGAGAGAAGTTGGACAAACAATTCGAGCGCTTTCCAGAAGTGTTCAAGCAGGTGGATATGTGAATATACCTTTCATAGAGGTGCTTTCGCAGGTGCCAACTTATGCCAAATTCATGAAGGAAATATTGTCCAAGAAGCGGAAAGTAGAAAAAACATCGGTTGTCAAGCTGACAAAGCATTTTAGTGCCATCTTATAAGATAAACTCCCTCAAAAATATGGAGATCCAGTAAGTTTTACTATACCTTGCTCTTTAGGAAGTACTAAATTTCAAAAATCTCTGTGTAATTCAGGTGCTTCTATTAATCTTATGCCTTTGTCTATTTTCATGAAATTGGAGGGAGAGATTTGAGAGATCAGGTCGGTACCTGTGTCCTTGCAGCTGGCGGATCAGACAACAATCATACCAGAAGGAATAGTAGAAGATGTGCTAGTTCAGGTGGATAAATTTGTGTTCCCTGTGGACTTCATTATGGTGAACATGGAGGAGAATAGGGAGGTTCTGCTGATTTTAGGAAGACCCTTCTTGGCTACGGGCAGAGCAATTCTAGATATTCAGGAAAGGCAGCTCATGCTCAGAGTGGGAGATGAAAGACTGATCTTGAAGATGGAAGGAGAAAAGGCGGCCTTGAAAGAGCAAATTGGAAAGAGTGAAGCTAATAAGTATGGGGTGTACCCAAAGAAGGCGGAAAAGAAGCTCTCAGCATAGATGTGTGCATTGGGTCAGGCATGCAAAGGAGATCCCGACTTCGATTGCGACCCCAGCTAGATGAATCAGGGAAGATTCCTTTACCTCTTGCTTTTTATTTGTGTGCTATGTGAACATGCCATAATTTAAAGTGTGGGGTGGGGATATAAATATGTAAATGTGTGTTTGTTTTCGTTTCTTTTGATTGATTTTATTTTTACTTTTCCCGACAATGGATTTCCTCGGCTGTCTTCTTGAGGGATTAAAAAAATATTTTGTTTTTCTTAAGTAGTGTAATAATTGCCCCTTAGTTTTTCTTTGTGATGTGGTTCTTTTCCAAGGTTTTTGCTTGAACCGGTTGTAGTTAGTTTTTTTAATTAGGAATAGAGAAGTCTTGTATTGTGGTGTTAAATAGAGATAACTTGCCTTACCTGTGTTGTGCTTGGAGAGCAATAAGTGATTTAGTTGTGATGCCTAGGCTCAATTCTTGACTCATGGATAAGTACCTTAATTTGTTTGATCTTGACTTTGCTTAACTTTTTTGACTAGAGGGTAGGGATAGATCCGACCCTGAGTGAGGATTTGTTGATATTCTGTGTATGTCAGTTGATGTCTAGAACTTGTCCCGTGTGTTTGCAAAGCGAAATAGTAGTCTTGTTCAGTCTAGGAAGTGATATAGGCATTTCGTTGTTGAGCCAATTATATGTTTATGTCTATAAGATCCTATCTACTTTTCTTGCCTTGAGTCTTGCATCTTCACTTGAAATCTTGTAAACTCGCATTGGTGGCTTGAGATTGAAGATTGATTCTTGAAGCTCGAGCTTGAATTGAGACTTGG